TATATTTACAGATTCCTCAATGACATTTCTTATTTTATTTTTTAAAATATGTATATATTGATTTCAGAGAGGAAGGAACAGGGAGAAAGAGAAACATCAGTGATGAGAGAGAATCATTGATCGGCTGCCTCCTGCTCGCCCCACACTGCGTATTGAGCCCACAATCCGGAATCGAACTGTGACCTCCTGGAATCAAACCATGACCTCCTGGGTCATAGCTTGATGCTAAACCACTGAGCCATGCCGATCAAGCAGTTTTGTCTTCTTTAAACAATCTTTCCCTGTTTTGAGGTCATGAAGATACTTGTATTTTGTTCTAAGACTTTTAAAGTTTTAAAAAAATACATACACATACACACACACACACACACACACACACATTAATGCTAATGCCTCCTAAATTTATTCTTTGTGTTGTATGGGGGTCTTTTGTTTACTTACTTTTCTATTGGGAAAGCCAGTTGTCCTGACCTCGCCAGCCTTTCCCGCTCATCTGACCTGCCACCGCCATCACATCCAGGTTCTCCTTGGGGCTCTCTTCTGTTCCACTGACCATATTGCCTATTCTTGCATCCATTCCTGAAACTTTTCATTATCAAACTTTATTAAAAAATGTATTATCGCCCTAACTGGTTTGGCTCAGCGGATAAGAGCATAGGCCTGTGGACTCAAGGGTTCCAGGTTCGATTCCGGTCAGGAGCATGTGCCTTGGTTGTGGGCATATCCCCGGTGGGGAGTGTGCAGGAGGCAGCTGATCGATGTTCCTCTCTCATCGATGTTTCTAATTCTCTATCCCTCTCCCTTCCTCTCTGTAAAAAAATCAATAAATATATATATTTTTTTAAAAATGTATTTTCTGGGCCAAGAGATGACGATTATTTGCTTTTTGCTTTGAGACCATTGGTCTTTAAGTAATTGTCCGTCGTGTGTTTCAAACAGCTGAACCTAGAAAAGAATCCATTTGCTTCTCACCTTTCAAGGACTGATGGGCCACGGCCTGAAACTCTGGGTACTTTTACTTTTGGCTTCCCCCTCCCCCTTGCAACTCTCGCCTCTGGTTTTTCAGGTTGTGATATCTCTGAACCATGCGGCCTTCTTCCGACCTTTACACGTGGGCCCGTGATGGGTATTTTGTAACTGGGTTGTAGTACCAATTCCGTTGGTTACTGCCAACCAGACCGCAGTGATAGGCCTGATGGGGTCTGGCATTTCCTGTCGCCTCACTGACACTGACAGCCTGGATTCCAAAAATAAAAGCACAAGAAACCACTGTGACCTCACGGTCTCTGTGCTCACACGGTGCTCTGAGCTCTGGGACTGCCCTCACCCCTGTGGCCCAGCTGGGGCCCTGCTCCCCGCCAGAGAGACGTGGGGTCCCAGTGGTCTGGTCGGGCTCCGGGCTGCGAGGCCGCCCTGCCGAGCGCTCACTCTCGGTCCCCTCCCTTCAGACGGTCACCCGAAGGGCCAAGGTGGCTCCCGCCGAGAGGATGAGCAAGTTCCTGCGGCACTTCACTGTCGTCGGGGACGACTGCCATGCCTGGAACATCAACTACAAGAAATGGGAGAATGAAGAAGAGGAGGAGGAGGAAGAGGAGGAGGAGGAGGAGCAGCAGCCGCCGCCGCCGCCAACACCAGCCTCGGAGGAGGAGGGCAGAGCTGCCGAGCCAACTGCGGCCCCTGTCTCCACACCCCGGCGCCCTCTAGACTTCAGGAGCAGGTTGAAGAAGCTCTTCGGCTCCCACAGGTTTCAGGTAGGTGGGCAGAGCCCTCAGCTGAGAGTCACGAGGCTGGGGTGGGGGCCCATCTCTGCCACTGCCTCATTCACGGTGCAGATGTCTCCTGGGCACCGACCATGTGCCAGGCGCCTACACAGTGCTGGGTCCACGGGGCAGGTCCCATGTTTCAGGGATTAAATCACACCCCAACGGCCCATCCTCTGATGAATGGATAAACGAAATGTGGTCCATCCACCCACTGGAATACTCCTCAGTCACGAAAAGGAAGGAAACGCTGACACCGGCTGTAGCATGGATGAACCTGGAGAACATGCTGCTGGAAGCCAGACACAAAAGACTGTATTGTGTGATTCCATTTGTGTGAAATGCCCAGAAGGAGCAAATCCGTAGGCCCAGACTGGTGGTTGTCACAGGTTGGAGGGAGGGAAGGACGGGCAGACTGCCTCATGGGTACAGGGCTCCCATTTGGGGTGATGAAAATGTTCTGGAACTATATAGTGGTGGGTGGTTCCACAACCTTGGGTAGAGACTTAATGCTAATGAATTCTAAAATGGTCAATTTCATGTTATACCAATTTTGCCGCACACTCACAAAGTCAACTAAAGGATAAACATTGGAGGCAGAAAAAACGTGCCAGCCCCACAAGGCAAGAGGGTGCCAGGCCACACCCACTCTTCACCCTGGGGGCCTCAGTCTCAGCCAAAAATACCTGCCAGGCTTCACTCACCGCCGACTTCCAGGTGTGGTCATGGGGAGACCATGAGAGGGAGATGGGGGGCTTCAAAGGATAGCAAAGGAATGGAGCTTTCTCCGGAGTTCAGGACCTGTCCTGCCATCTGACTGTGAAGGATAAAGGCAGGTGGAGTCTGGCCAGCCCTCGGGTGGCAGCCAGGAGTCCAGGAGCACGTGTAAGGCCAGGAGAATGCAGGAGGCCCAGGACACTGGGGAAGCACACAGCCCGGTTACCGTGGGGGGAGCCATTTGGGGGACCCTGGGCCAAGATAATCCGCTTCCTACCAAGAGCCAGTGTCCCTTCTGGAAGCAGAGAGAAGCAGTCCTTGCCTCTCCCGTCGCGGACTTTGTTCCAGGGTAAGACAGGGAAAACTTATTTTGGTCTTTTGTCGCTTTTATGTGGCTTCGAGAAAGAATGCAGGCCCAGCAGGCACAGTGCTTTCCTCTGTGGCTGCGACAGGAAAGAAAGCGTGGTATTAAGTTGTTGGGGTTGAAATCCCAAACCCTCAATTTTCAGGAGCAGGAGGAAGGAGCCAGCTTCCTTCCAGCTGCCAGGGGAGCCCTGGATTATCCCCCTCGGGAGGTGCCCCCCTTCTCCTGACTCAGCCCAACAGCTGGCCCCTGAGCTGGGATCCCGGAGATGCTGGGACTGGGGAAAAACAAGTAGAGATGTCTAGTCATTCACTCTACAGCCGTTTCTTAGCACCTGTGTGTGTTGGGGGAGGGGGGGTACAGTGGAGAGCACGGTGGACATGTTCCTGCCCCACTCACGGATACAGTCATTCCAGAAACCACCCGGACAGATAACTGGTTACAAGTGGAGAGAAGCCCTCTGTAGGAAAACAGAGGGGGCTCTGAGAGATCCTGGGGACGGGGGAGACATGTCTAGGAGGTGACATGCCCCTCTCCCCACAACACATGAAGGCTGGGCAGGAGTGAGCTCAGTGGGTGGGAGAGGGAGCAGCTTTCCAGGCAGATGGCCCTGTTGCTAAGGCCCCGAGGTAGGAGAGGGTTGGCAGCATTGCAGGACTGAGGAGGGCCCAACGAGGCATGTGTGTGGTGAGAAGAGGGACCGCTTGGCAAGAGAGGTGGCACTGGAAGGTCGTCACCCCTGGGCAGTGGGCAGCCATGGAAAGTTTACAGGGGGCAGGGAGGGGGTGACATGACCAGATCTGGAGAGGGGGCTCAGAGTAGAAGAAAGGTGGCACCGCACAGCGGGGGATACAGGTTCAGGCTCAGGGGTTAGTTCTGTGCCAGTAGGATCAGCATACAGAAGGTTCTGGAATCCCTTTCCTTCAAACCACTTGTTCCACATGGTTTGAGGTGGCCAAGGTGACCTGATGTACAGCTGACTGCTGTCACACATGGGATGGCACAACCAAGAGAGAAAATACAGGGTGGGGACCCAGGCATTGTAGCTTTGTGACCTTGGGCCTGAGATTCATATAAAATTAATCATTTCAAAGTGAATCATTCAGTGGCATTTATTTAATACATTCACAATGTTGCACAGCCATCACCACTATCTAGTTCCAGAACGTTCTCATCACCCCAAAGGAGGTTTGCTACCCATTAAACAATAACCTCCCAGCCCCTGACAACCGCTGATCTTACTGTGTCTATAGATGTGCCTGTTCTGGACATTTCGTATAAATGGAATTATACAATACAGATTGTCTTTTGCATCTGGCTTCTTTCACTTTAGCATAATGTTTTCTAGGTTCAAACCACGTCATAGCATGTACCAGTACTTTGTCCCTTTTTATGGCTGAATATGCAGTCTGTTTTTAATATTTCTATTTTAATATGCCTTGCTTTTTGAAGTCAGATCCCTTTAACTCTAAAATAAAACCCAGGGTGAAAAAAGAAAGAAAAGGGGGGAAAAAAAACCACCAAAAGCTTGAATCTTTATTAAGCTGCTGAATTTGATCTGTATGAAAACTTCATTAAAAAACAGTTTGCCATGCAATTTCACAATATTCCATATCATCAAATCATTTAATTACTGAAATAATTGGCTACAGGTGGAAATGATAAAAAATGTATACAGTACATCATTCTTAGTAGGCCTGAACTTGTAGAATTTCATCCTGAAACTGCCAAGAAAATTAATGGCAATATTAACCTTCAGAGGCCAAAATCGATGTACCTGAGAGTGTCAGAGGCAAGGCCCCGGGGGAAGCTAGTAATGGTCCACCGTTTCCAAAGGAAGAAAGTCACGCAACGTCCCCTGGGTCCCTCCATTGCTGCCATTCCCATCACCACCCTGTCTTCCCTGTGGTCTCTCTCAACACTGTCACCACCACCCATTAGCGCCCTCATCAGAGTCGTCACCACCTCCATCTCCGTGACCACCACCGTCACTGCGATCACGCACTCCCTCCGCTCTGGTTCCCACTGCCCTCCTCTGCCCCCAGGTCGTGACTGTCTTTCCCACAACTCTTCCCGGTTTTCCACCTGAGTCGGGCAGCTGTTTTAGGTGCACAGCGGACATCCCTGTAACCCAACTGCCCAAAGCGGGCAGAGCCTGGAGGTCCCTCCCACCACTCAGACCTCTGAGGCTGCATGTGGCTCATTATTTGCTGAGCATCTACTCTGGGCTTGCCCAAGCGAGAGCAATGCACAGTACTAGGAAAATAAAAATGTGGCAGAATGTTTTTATTACTTATTTTGTTTGCCACCTAGGAATTAGCAGTTTGGTTTGAGAGATGCTGGGAAACAGTGAACGAGTAAGAAAAAACAAGTAGTGCCCGGCTGACATGGCTCAGTGGTTGAGCATCGACCTATGAACCAGGAGGTCATGGTTCGATTCCCGATCAGGGCACATGCCTGGGTTGTGGGCTCAATGCCCAGTGTGGGGTGTGCAGGAGGCAGCTGATCAATGATTCTTATCATTGATGTTTCTATCTCTCTGTCTCCCTTCATCTTTGAAATCAATAAAAAAAAGCCGAAACCGGTTTGGCTCGGTGGATAGAGCGTCGGCCTGCAGACTGAAGGGTCCCAGGTGCGATTCCGGTCAAGGGCATGTACCTGGGTTGCGGGCACGTCCCCAGTGGGAGATGTGCAGGAGGCAGCTGATCGATGTTTCTGGCTCTCTAGCTCTCTCCCTTCCTCTCTGTAAAAAATCAATAAAATATATTTTTTAAAAAATGAAATCAATAAAAAAAAAAATTTAAAAAAAAAAGACAAGTAGTGACAGAGGGTCAGTAAGTGAGCTGTCCTGAGATGCCCTGGTACAGGCACTGAGGTGGCGAACAGCCTGGGAAGGCAGCAGGGGGAGGAGGGGCTTCTGTGGCTTCCGTGGAGGAGCTGGGTCCCAGCGGGCTCCCCACAGGGTGCTTGGGCCATAGCCAGCAGCCTCCCATCCTTGGCATTTTTCCCTAGTGGTTTCATCCAGATGTTTCCAAACCAACCTTTGAAAGACAGAAGGCGGTCTCCCTTTAGGGCTCATGGCTTCTCCTCCTTCCCCGGGTCCGCAGGTCATCATCATTTGCCTGGTTGTGCTGGATGCCCTCCTGGTGCTGGCCGAGCTCATCCTGGACCTGAAGATCATCCAGCCGGACAAGAACAACTACGCCGGCAGGGTAGCGTGTCCACAGCCCTTATGCTTTCTTCACTCTGGTACCTGCCCTGGAGGGGACAGAGTAGGGTGGGCAGCAGCCGCCCTGAGGCTGCATGAGAGCAGATGGGGTGCTTTTAGTCAAAGGGCAGAGGAAAGTTATAGATAAGCATTTACTACAAGCAGGACACTTTCTCCTTTCACTTGATGGCTTCCCGGACCGACCACTGAGCCGACCACTGAGCTGGAGTGTGTCCCTGATTCCAGAGGGACGCTCCGACCAGGAGAACCATACTTTCCCGTCCCCTAGAAGAGCTGTTTCTCCTTAGCCGTTCTGATGGGGTCCCTAGGCTGGAGCCATCGGGGATGTGCCATTATTCCCTGATTCACGCTTCCTGCCGAGTCCCTCCCCAACATTCGCCCCAGGGGCACTGGATACCCCAAAAATACACCACCTGTGGCCCATCGTCAGTAACATAGGAGACAGTCGGGGGCTGGAAAGCTTCTCTCAACACTTTTTTAAAAACAAAAGTTGATTTATAATTCGAAAATGCCCTTTCGGGTGTAAAACACCACCTTCCTACGCGTGGCCCCTTTCCCAAGGCACCCTTAAGGTGTCCCTCTGCGGCCAGCCCCCGCCCTTCCATACATGGATGAATTTCTCTTTCCTTCTATTTTTTTTTTAACAGAATCAATAACATACCTGCAAGCTCACTGTCTTGTGCCCTTCTTTGTCCTCAACTTTTTGATTATGAAAAAAAAAAGAGGCAAATCGACATTTTGCTACATTTGCTTTATATCTCTATCCACAAACACACCCATATATTACTGTCTGACCATTTGAAAGTTAGACATCATGACACTTCATCCTAAATACTTTGATGTACCTAAGAATAAGGTCTTCCTCCTACAGAACCACAATAGCATTTCCATACCTTTACAATTATCAATAATTCCCTAACAGCCAATTAGCATCCACTCGTGAGCACTGGCTGGCCAGTGAATACACTGGGGGATGCAGACTGGTGATTTTGAGTTGTCTTTCCTTCTACATCACATAGTTGCTATTCTTTTATAAGAGCTTTCCTTTTTCCCGTGTGCACATGTGTGTGCATGTAACCCCTCACTATGGTCGCATGGATTTTTTGTGTTGTATATACTGTGTATTACAATGATAGCCATTCTTTTCAATATTCAAATGGTCCCAAACCTGGCCACTGTGAGCCCCTTCGAGTGGACTGCTGTGTTCCTTTGGCACGACCCCATAGTCTTTGAGCGTTTCCCTGCTCAAAGATGATGTCCCAGCTGACTTTGAACTTTCCCTGCCTCAGAATGGACATGGTTACTTTACTGAAGACCAGTATTTATCCGTCAGGATCTGGGAACTCTTCACTCGCCATCTACCTTGGTGATCATTGCTAGTCAACCCATATGGATCAGCCTTGGTCTTTTTAACAGTTGCATAGTGCTCCATATGGAAGTACCATAATGCATTTGACGACTGCCCTCTAATGGATATTTCAATTTTTCTACAAACTATGTAGAACAGGGGTCCTCAAACTACGGCCCGCGGGCCACATGCAAATACAAATATTGTATTTGTTCCTGTTTTGTTTTTTTACTTCACAATAAGATATGTGCAGTGTGCATAGGAATTTGTTCATAGGTTTGTTTTAAACTATAGTCCGGCCCTCCAACGGTCTGAGGGACAGTGAACTGGCCCCCTGTTTAAAGAGTTTGAGGACCCCTGATGTAAAAGATCTTGTTTGGCAAGTGATGCTGCAGTAAGTACCCTTACAAGTCTCTGTACACGTGAATTAAGCTGTAGGATAAATTCCAAGCAGTGGCATTGTTACCCAACTGAAGGGTCTGTTTGCCTGCACTTATCAAACGCGAGTTTGCAGCCAAGGAAGTAAGGATTTATTAAGGAGATGGCACCATGCCTGGAGTCACAGGTGAGCTACTGCTCAAAAAAAATCCTTCCCCATGGCTTCCAGGGGAAGGACTTTTGGGGGGAGGGGGCGGGGGGGAATCATTAATCATGACTCAAGGAGTTAGGGTCATGGTCTCTACTGATTGGTTGGCGCTAGGGTAGAGGGTAGTTGATCACTGTTTCTGGTCCTGATGTCAGCCATGGAATCATTCTGTCCTGATTGGGCAAGGACATGTTTGAAGGGATGGCTCTGCTTTCCTGGAAACTGAGGCCAACATGCTCTCTGTAGTTTGATTGAAAATTCTGTCTCTATAATCAGTAGACTTGTTCTAAGACTACTGGGTGCTGACCAGAACCTCACTGTTCTGAGGGCTTCATGATTAAGCAAGATGGGTGAGTCAGGGTGCTGGGTGAGTCAGGGTGCTGGGTGAGTCAGGGTGCTGGGTGAGTCAGGGTGCTGGGTGAGAGGCGAGTTTGAGTCAAAGGGAAAAAAATGGAAAGGCCCAATGAAAGAAAATAAGGTTTCTGCATGGTTATAGTATTGCTATGCCAATAGGCACGGCGGATGTTTTCCAATCCGCCATCGCCCCGCTGTCCTTCGAAGAGCAGAGCCCTGTCTGCTCTTCCCGCTGTTTTACCAGCCCGAGAACAGGGCCTGGTGCTGGCAGGGGCTTGGGACTGGTCAGTGAATGAAATCTCTCTCTGGCGACCTGACAGGTGCACTCAGGCCTGCTGGTCTGTGTGACCTGCCCCAGCCCGGACCTGCTCTCACTGTGCTTCCTTGTCTCCTTCAGGTGTTCCACTACATGAGCATCGCCATCTTGACCTTCTTCATGATAGAGGTTTTCTTTAAAATATCTGTTTTCCGCTTCGAGTTCTTCCACCACAAGTTTGAAATCCTGGACTCTGTTGTCGTTGTGGTCTCATTTGTCCTGGACATCGTCCTCCTGTTCCAGGAGCATGAGTTTGAGGCCCTCGGCCTGTTGATTCTGCTCCGGCTGTGGCGGGTGGCCCGGATCATCAACGGTATGTCCCCTGCACCCCTGGGTGGCAGAGCAGATAGGAACGGGTGGCGCCTGGGAGTGGACACAGAGGCTGCAGGTCCTGGTTTCCAGGTCGTTTCCCTCTCCTCCCCGCCGTCTAGAGGAAAGTGAAGTGGTCTGATCGGGGGTCCCACCACCACCTCTGTGGCTAAGACGGACACCGAGACATGTGCTCTCAGAGGAACTACCTTTCTCCTTTAGGCCCTATTTCTATTAGACCAGTGGTCGGCAAACCATGGCTCACAAGCCACATGCGGCTCTTTGGCCTCTTTGAGTGTGGCTCTTCCACAAAATACCACGTACAGTGCGACTGAAACTTCGTGGCCCATGCGCAGAAGTCGGTTTTCGGCCTGGGCGAGTGTATTTTGAAGAAATGGCGTTAGAAGTGGGGGGTGTCGGTCCGTCGGTCGGTTGGTCGGTTGACAGGAGACGGGCGCAGGTGGGCCTCGGGATACCCAGCGAGTGTGGATGGGAGAGTTGGAAGGGGTCAACCTCAGCGAACGTACCTCAATCAGATTGAGGACGTTTTTAACAAAGGCCAGCTTAGGCGTGCCCTAATTAAGTTAATAACTATGTACCTACCTATATAGTTTAAGTTTAAAAAATTTGGCTCTCAAAAGAGATTTCAGTCGTTGTACTGTTGATATTTGGCTCTGATGACTAATGAGTTTGCCGACCACTGTATTAGACTAATCACACCCTACCCACCTGGGGAGGGGCCTCATCCAAAAGGGATGCAAGAAAGCTGAAAAATGATTTACGCTAGATCCTGCCCCCTTTGAGAAAAGCACAACATGTGTTAGTGTGATGAAGGCTCTGAGAACTGTAATATTTTCCAAATTGACCGATCTGATACTTTCTGGGTACGTAATACCTAGTCACATGCTGTAGACACTGGCTGTGGAGCACACACTTGAAGAAATACTGCGTATTTTAGGTAAAAAGCCTACGCCTTGCACACCCTGTTTGTACAGGGAGCCTCTATCTCAGAGAATTCATGTTTCTGCTGTGACTTTATTTTATTTTTATTGATTTGAGAGAGAGAAAAACATCTATGTGAGAGAGATTGGTTGCCTCGAGCACGTGCACCAACTGAGGCAGGGATAGAACCTGCAACCCAGATACATCCCCTTAACTGGGAATCGAACCCGCAACCCCTCGGTGCTCGGGCCGACACTCTATTCACTGAGCCACACCAGTCAGGCCAGCGCCTTTGTGGCTTTTGCACACACTGCTGCTAGGCAGTGCTGACCGACACTCTATTCACTGAGCCACACCAGCCAGGCCAGCGCCTTTGTGGCTTTTGCACACACTCCTCTAGGCAGTGCTGTGGTGAAGAAGCTTTGTGCTGAGGAGCTCAGTGCTCATCTGGTCAGTGATTATTTTTAAGGATTTTCCAGCCCCTGGGAACCAAAGAGAAGTATTTCACAACGAGGTCCTCCGAAATGAGTCGCTCAGAAATGAAAAACCTGACCCTCCTAGTTCAGGTGCCTTTAAGCAATGACTGTTTTACTTGTCTGTCGCCACTCTTCTCAACTGTATACGTTTATAAGGAACACAGATTTTTTTTTCAAGTGGTTTAATTAGAAACCAGGATCATTGAGACCCTCAATTATTTTTCAGGAATAATTATCTCAGTTAAGACACGTTCAGAACGGCAACTGTTGAGGTTAAAACAGATAAATATGCAATTGGCTGCCAAGATCCAGCACCTCGAGTTCAGCTGCTCTGAGAAGGTAAGAAAGCACTTCTGGGGAAATACCACCTGTTGGCAGTTGCCCACCTCAGCCCAGTGCTTCTCACGCCAGGCCTTCGCTCCTGTGGGCCTTGAGCCAGGAACACCCCTCCCCCTGGCCAAGTCCTCCCTGCCCTTGCCTCCTTCCCAGAGCTAGGCTGGCGTCCCTCCTCTTGCCACTGGACCCCATCTGACTGTGGCTTCGTGGCCTGTCCTCGTACCAGGGCTCACGGAATGATGGTCACATCCCTGATGAGGCTCAGAGGTAAACTCAGTTATTTCTCTGCTTTTGTAATAACAGGAACAAGAAATTGAAAGACTTAACAAGCTACTGAGACAGCACGGACTTCTGGGGGAGGTGAACTAGAGGCATCCCTGCTCCACTCCAGAGACACCGCCTCACGGGCTGTGGCTGTGAATGAGACGCGTGGGGCATCTGCGGGACAGGCTGGTCTGATGTCTCTGCCTCCTACCCAACTTGGATCCTGGAGGGACAGTCTTCCAGAAGGCTCTCTCTCTTCCTCGGTGTGACCGAGGGCTTCCCATCCCATTCCCACCTGCACTGTATCACAAATGTATCATAAGCTGTTTCTCATGTTGAACACTTGACTCTTGCTTGGAAATGTACAACACAGCTGGACAGTCACTAGTTGTATATAACATTTAATCTCACCAAATGCAGTTTTCACGTTCTACGTGAATACTGCGGCATTCTTTCATATGAGCGCTCTGAAAGACAAAAGGAAAAAAGGAAGCTACCTTAGCGACCAGCCCATTCAGGAAAGGCCTTTTCTGTTTCCAGGCTGTTCTGAACAGCTTGTTGGAGGGCAGTTCCCCAAGGAGGCTGTCCTCGGGTTCCCACGCCCTCCTCCGCATCATCCAGCTGCATCACCCAGCTGCTAGCTGGCTCCACCTCGTTCTGCCCCCTGACATTTTTCTCAATTACTGTACAGTTAATGTATAACATAAACTCTCTCCTTCCCCCGGACCCTCCTACTATATTCTTTCCAGCTTCAACTGCTTGGAACTGCTCTGTGGCATTCCACACCAGCCCACCAGTTGGAGAGCTAGCTAGCGACAGTGCCTGGGACAGAAATGTTGATTGGACCCAAGACTCCACTCTAATTAACATGACATTTGGGGGAAGACCCCCCCCTGAGGCCTTGTATTCTATCTGCATGAGCTTATACAATAGTTCGCTATTTTTGTACTCATTTCAATGGGACTTGAAAGAAAACCTGAACTAAAAACAATGATTATTTTAACAACAACTCACATCAAAGCAGGAGGTGAGTGAACTGGATAAGCCCTCAATGCCTGTGCTAGCTACTTCAAAGTCTGTTCTCTCTACCGTCTTCACGAAGGTGCCATTTGGTTTCCACATATGATCTGTGTGTTGAGAGTTTTGGAAATTACCAAGATCAGATAGTGCCCCATTTTAAAGTCAAACCAAGTAGAATAAAATTTCCAAAAGGAGGGAAGTGAGTGGGGAGGGGAGGGGTACTGGTCTGGAAGTCTAATAAAATGAGATGCTGCTGAGGGGCCCCGCAGCCACTCTGTTCTAGAGGTGTAGCCTCCTTTCCTTAATGACTTACGTCAAACAAATGGGAAGAAGAAATTGAAGGGCAGCTTGGCATTGATGGTTGGCCGAGCTCTGAAGCCTGCCACTGCAGGAGCAGACACATCCACGAAAGTAACCGCGGTGGAAATAAGAACCGTCCTTTCTTTTCCTGAGTTGGTCTGTAATAAAAAGCCAGGGTGGTGTAAGCCTTGCCGCCGTATGCTACCAGGATAACAAAGACAGGAGGACATCTTTCATTCTCTTCCTCACCGACCATTGTTGGTCCATTCAAAAATCTGATAGGTATGTGGAGGGCTAATCAGCCATGAACTTGGATGAGAGAAATAATTTTTACCCAGCTTGTCCCAACACATCAATGTCAATCACAACTCAATTTTCATAAGAATTTTAAAGATCAAATCTAAACAAGCACGCTACTGTGAATAAAACCCTTGTCAGTGGAAGTTTTTCCTCTAAGACTTAGAGTCTAATCAGCGGTTCTCAACCTGTGGGTTGCGACTGTCGGGAAACACATATAGCATATCAGATATTTACATTACGATTCATAACAGCAAAATTACAGTTATGAAGTAGCAACGAAAATAATTTTATGGTTGGGGGTCACCACAACATGAGGAACTGTATTAAAGGGTCACGGCATTAGGAAGGTTGAGAACCACTGGCTAAGTGAAAGAAAATGACTGCTACAATGTTTTAAGAATCCAGATTGTTGCCCTGGCTGGTTTGGCTCAGTGGATAGAATGTCGGCCTGCGGACTGAAGGCTCTCGGGTTTGATTCCAGTCAAGGGCACGTGCCTGGGTTGTGGGTTCAATCCCTAGTAGGGGTCATGCAGGAGGCAGCCGATCAATGATTCTCTCTCATCATTGATGTTTCTATCTCTCTCCCTTCCTCTCTGAAATCAATAAAAATGTATTTTAAAAAAATAATCCAGATTGTTTCCATTTTAATTATAATATTTTTCACAAAATAATAAATTTCACTATCACACTTGAGTTTTGTCTGGACTTGGATCTTAACCTATACCTTGAAACTAAAGTTAGGCCTACCTTAGGATATGAGGATGAAATTAGATTTGCAGTTACGTTGACTATTTTAGCCTGTGGGTTCAGTAAGGATCCGTACTTCGTCCACTTCACTTCTATAACCAAAGCCAGCGGGAGCTGGCAGACATCCTACAAAACAAAATGCTGTTAATCAGTTTGACTATTACGCCAACTGCAAGTCAAACTTAATCTGCAGTTCAGAGTTTTAATTATAAAATGTTTCACATATTACAAAATGTTCTGAACAAGAGAATGAATAGACTCTCAAAGTTCAGATAAAAACCGCTTAGAGAAAGCACATATTTTAAAGTACTCAATGCTCCAAAAACATTTTAACACCTAAAGCACAATTTTTCCATTCCTTCCAATTCCTCTGATTTCTAAAGAGGCCAGCATCACCTGGGAGTTGTAAGCCCAGGGCATGTCTGTAGAACCTTCAGGGCCTTGCCTGCTCTAACTTCCTCTATCTGTTTACCGCTACCTCCAAGATACTTGAGGAGAGAAACTGGCATTGGGTGGGGAGGAGGAAGAGAGGATGGTATTATTAACAGACAAATTAAACCCAATTGCATATCATGTTAAAATACACTTACAAGAAATGTAAGTGCCTTCTTTTCATTTATCTTATTTCATCAATTGGCAATTAAGATGTTACACTGGGTTTATAGGCAGAGTCTGAGTTGTCAAAGATACTGCCAACTCTCCACCGGAACCAAGCGCCTCCATGGAGCTGCCAGTTCAGACGACGCTGTGGGAGCTGGGCCTGAGGCCTCTGCCCCAGGGCCTCTGTTTGGGCAGCCCCAGGGGGAAAATGGTTGGTGGGTCTTCCCGATCTTTTTCCAGGCTCTAGAGTCTAGACCTCTATAGTTGGCAACTGGGATAACTGTTGAAGCTGCATGATGGTTAGAAGGGATTCCGTTGTATTATTCTATTTTTGTGTATGTTTGAAATTTTCCACAATAGCAAGGTTTTAAAAACATTTCAAGGCATGAGAAGCTAGCAGGCCTGCTAAATTTGTGCCTGCCAAAAAGGCACTGGTGGGATCCTTAGCTTGGAACTGCCTTTGAAGCAATTTGTAGGCTGAGAGATCCTTGACTATCCTGTTATTAGAAGATGCAACAAACAGCTGGTGTAACTGAGCTTAGCAGATGCTCACATGTCTGCTTCTACCTGGGTTTCCTGAAAGGTTGGCCCAAAACCCACCCCAGGCCCTAAGCTCCCTGGACCAGCACAGACCCTGGCAGTGCTAATGTCCTCGCTGCTGCGTCTCCTCCCAACCTGTTTTCCCTTCTGAGGGGGAAGTAATAACTGGATGTCTTATCTCATCTCCAAGAAGCCAGAAGCAATCTGCCTGGTTCACTGAGGCAGCAGCGCCGAGCCAAGACTTAGCAGCTGAACAGCAGGGACTGAGCAGTCACCCGTCTCTGGTAGGAAGGGCGGGATCCAAGCTGGGGAGGCGTCCTCACCCCGTCCCCATGCTATAAATATGCTAGCAGATAATGAAAGGCCTGAAGAGACTGTGACAAGAAAAAGCTGGGCAATTAAAGGATAAGATGGAGAGCACACCTCCAGGCATGGGGGCCAGCCCACACTGACTGCTGAGACAAAAGGAAAGGGTGGGCAAAAGAATCACATGTGATCAGGAACCCATTTATAGGATGTCAAATTCCATTAAACTCTTGGGAACTTTTGAATTGAAAGCTCTCATGTGGGCCGCCTTTATAGACCAGGGAACAGCTCTGAGGATGAGGGGATGTCTCAATCTCTTTGAGACAGTCCTCACACTTGTCTCATATCCAATGCCTAGA